AGATGATTATATTGTATGGGACTGGGGGCGGCCGCAGCCGCAGTAGCAGGATGGGGCCAGCGCGCGGACCCCACCGGCAGCCGGAGAAGCAGCCGCCTCAGTAACTCGGGCCTTCGAGCCGACGCCCCCCGCCCGGGTCGCCCGCCCTCAGCTCATGTATACGCCGAGCGGCGGCAGCAGCGGGACTAGCAGCAGCCGCCGCCACCTCCGCCGGAGTAGCTGAGGCGCTGAGCCGCGGCGGGAGTCCGAGTCGAGCAAGCCGAGTGCGGGCAGCGTGGGGCCGCCGAGGCGCGCTTCGAGCTCGGGGCCGCTGCCACCGCCGCGCCTGGGAGATGTGCCCGGAGGAGGGCGGCGCGGCTGGGCTGGGCGAGCTCCGTTCCTGGTGGGAAGTCCCGGCCATCGCGCACTTCTGCTCGCTCTTTCGCACAGCGTTCCGCCTGCCGGACTTTGAGATCGAAGTGAGTGCCGCGAGGAGCGGGCGAGGCTGAGCTTGCTGCGCCTCTTTCTCCTTGTGTTTTACTCGGGGAGTCTTGGGAACATCCTGAAGGAGGGATCTGGGGAGCGAGAGAGTTTTGCCTGTAGCCAGGAGAAGGGCCTGGGAGTGGGGGGCGCGAGGCGCGGAAAAGCAGGAGGGCGGGTGGGAGCTCCTCTGGGCTTTGCAAAGGACACCAAGTGCGGCGTCCGGGTTTGGGACGTTCTCTCGGGCGGCCACTGCTCACCCGCGGCTTCTAGAACTCTAAGAGTAGCGGAAAAGAGGAGGGAGAGCCTCTGCTTTTGTAGGAGTGGGAATGGGGGGCGGCTCTCCCGGGAGTTCACTGGAAGGAAAGGCTGAGTGTGGCGAGAGTGCGTGCGCGCGCGCGCTCCCTTCCCGGTGCCATTGAAGCTGCGAGCCAGCTGCTCCGGGTGGGGACGGGGTGCAGGCAGGCGAGGGGGCTAGGAGGTGGGGGGCGACCGCGGTGGATTAACTAGGACCGCCAGCGGGGAGACGGCCGCTGGGGCTGGTTGGGGGAGGGGTCTGTTGTGCTGGGGATAGACGCGCCCCCACTTTGTCCGGCGCGTTGAGGGGGGAGTATCACTTTGCAGACTCCCAGAGGCCCGCAACTCTCGGGGGGCCCTTTGGGTTAACTTTGGGCCGGCAGAGATAGGGGCCTGGCCAGGGGGGCGCGCTATCCTCCTCCGAGCCGCTCCGTTGCTGAGCCCTTACTCAGGGCTTCGCGGCTGCGAAGGGAAAGTTTGGGACTCCGTTATTCTTTTCCAGCTCCTTTACTCTCGGAGTACTGCTTTCTTTATTCTGGGAGCTCTTTGAGTTGATTTCGCCACCATTATCCCGCCGGGCGAGCGTGGAGGAAAGGGATGGCTTTTCTGGCCAGGCCGAAGGTGCTTTCAAACCCGAGGCTTTGTGATAATTGAACTAAAATCAGAGGGTCCTAGTAGCAGGGATGGTGGCGGGAGTGTGAGGTATGGAATGCTCATGATGGCTAAAACAAGCAGCTAGCCCCACCAGCCAGCATCCTCCTTTTATTTTTATTTTTGGAAGGGGGTGTGAAATATTCGATTGGTTGGCAGGTTGAATTGCTTTTTTTCCTTGTGCCAATTTGTGTAATGACTTTGTCACCTTTTGCCTTTGGACAAATGTAAATAGGTACTATTTGTTGGTCATTTTTTCTTTTCAATTCTGCCGATGGGTTCGCCCAAGGAGTAATCAAAATAATAATCACTCTATTGGAGGAGGAAATCGTTGTTGTTCCCTCCCCACCCCCACATAGGTTACTTTCTGCCATTTTCTAATTGATTTTGCTCCTAAGATTTTGGCCTCACCTTTTAGATTTAATCGTGTTTGCTGAAATATCATTTGCATCTTATATGAGTGAAGTGTGGAAACTTGCTCTTGTTGTAGAGTTAATGAAATCGGAAAAATAAAAAGATCAAAAGTGGGTGGGCTGGGAGAATGAAGAGGAATGTAGACTGATAAACTAGGGGCACTCAATGGCTTTTAGCGATTCTTAGTTCCTTAAGCTGATTAAAACAATGTGATTAAATCATAGGCTTCCCCATCTGTTTTTAGGAAGACTTAGAAACTTAGACATTTTACATAGCACCACAGCATTTGCTCTCAAAGTTTGGAAGTGAGTATAACAAGCATTATTTTTAATAAAAATGTTTGTGAGACTTACTGGAAAATACCCTAGACAGCTGTTTATATTGACACACTGACTAAAGAGAAACAGGGCCACAGAAATGAAAGATTTGGGAATGTTGAATGTCAAGAAGTGTTTAACATTCTGGTCTTGTGTTTTCTTTTAGTTGGTATAAAATTGTGACTAGGTTAATTATATCCTGCTGCTCAAAATGGTGGCTGTTGTGGGAAGTGTTGAGGCTTGTGACAGTGCCATCTTGGGTGCTGGTAAACTTGCCCTCTAGCCCTTTTTCTTCCTTGCAAGGTAATAAAGTTGAGGTGATGCTGGGATTACAAATTTAGAGTTTGAGATGTGTTCTACAAATACTGTGGAAAAACTCCCCTTTGAAAATTCATACACATATTCCCATCTTGTTGATTGAAAAATAGAGGTAACTGATTTTGCCTTAAATCATTACAGCACATCTAGAGTAATCTGTAACTTGTCTTCTGGTTTTAAGAAACAAGCTTACGGTTTTTAAGTATTATCTGGCTTAATTCCTGAAGGAAATGTAAATTGATAAAAAATTTGTATGTGTAACAGAAATGAAAAATCGTTGTATTACAGTTACATGTTGAGTAATCAGGGCCATTTGAGATGACTGCCCTCTGTTGATTCTAGTGTTTCTTGGAAGTGACACTTTTTTGGTTAAATTGGAGGCTATTTGAAATACTTGCAACACGAATATTTGAGGTCCAGTATGTACACAGTTTAAGAACTATTCATACCTGTCTTATTTGGAGATGTTCAGTAAAATGGATTACAAATTATGGTGACTTTTAGCCTCTTTAGTTCTTACATAATCTTTCTCGTACTAGGTGTGTTTTGATTAGGTTAATACAAATTTTAATGTAAGGTTTTCAGTAGTTACCAAAAAATTTAAAATTCATTTCTGTCCTAGACTTCTAACAAATTTGACTCAGTGATGGTGTGGAACTCACTGACAATACTATTAGTTTTGGTTCTCTCTATATAAATAAATACATTTATTTTTATTTGCTTAAGTGAAAAGCAATTGTTGTGTTTTTAATCCAATAGCTTATTGTTCTGACTGGTTGAGAAACAATCCCTTGTTTAGGCTTTATGGTGCAGTGGAAGACTCTTACAAAAAGAAGAAAAAATAATTTTAATGCAGATTAAATGCAGAGTTGTACCTGTTAGTTAGGCCAGGTGGAAAGGCCCTACAAACTTAATTTACTGCAACTCTAAAAGATAGAAGTGATGGAAGAAGTTGAGTATCAGCTTTTTTAGGAAACTAGTTTTCAGCTGTGGAAAAGATTTCGTTTTATCCTTGACCACCAGGGCTCAACCCGTGGATTTATAGAAAATTTAGGAAGCAGAGTCCTCAAGGACTTGACTTTTATTTATCTAAAGTGAAGCAATCTTTCAGGTAGGTGAAGGGCTGGGAGGATTCATGCTGCAATTCTGCAAGAGGTCAAGACCTCCCACTTAGAGAACTAGTCCCCAAAGTGTGGATATTTTTATTTTAGTACATTAAAAAAAAATATATTTTTACTCTGTTAACCTTGAATATACAGGATTTCTATGGAGGAGTCAACATATGTGATTTTAGGTTTTAAGGTATTTTTAAGGATTTGTATGTCACTCTTTAGCTGGCCCTCAAAGACAGGTTCTGTAATCATCAGACCAAAAATCTGTGAACAGATGGACAGCGCTTTATTTAAATTATTCAAAATTCCTGTTTATAAAATTAATACATGAAAATTATAGAAAACTTAAAAATTATAGCAAAATATAGGTAAAAGAAACAAAAGTCATGTAAGGCATTTGACTGCTAACCAGAAGGCTGGCGGTTCAAACCTACCAGCCACTCCTACGAAGGAAGGTTGGGCAATCTACTTCTGTAGTGATAGCGCTTCAGAAACCCAAGGAGATGTCGCCTATGAGTCAGACCCAACTTGACGGCATTGTGGGTTTTAGTGTTTTGGTATATTCTCACCAAGGAGCCCTGGTGGCACAGTGATTAAGTACTTGGCAGCTAACTGAAAGGGCAACAGGTTGAATCCACCAGCCACTCCGTGGGAGGAAGATGTGGCAGTCAGCCTCCAAAAGATTACAGCCTTGGAAACCCCATAAAAAAACCAAACTCATTGCTATTGAGTTGATTCCAACTCATAGCGACCCCATTTGGGTTTCTGAGGTGGTGAATCTTTACGGAAGTAGGTTGCCCAGTCTTCTTTCTGTGGAGTGGCTGGTGGGTTTGAACCACCAACCTTCTGGTGAGCAGTCAGATGCCTTAGGCACTATGCCACCAGAGCACCTTTGAAAACCCCATAGGGCAGTTTTAATCTGCCCTATATAGAGAGTTCACTATGAGTTGGAATTGACTCAGACAGCAGTGGGTTTGGTTTTGGGATTTGTAATCCCACCACTCAAAGAACTCTAGTAGTGCAGTGGTTAATGCATTTGGCTGCTAACGAAAAGGTTGATGGTTTGAACCCACAAGTTAACTCTGTGGGAGAAAGGTGAGGCAGTCTGCTTCTGTAAAGATTTACAGCCTTGGAAACTTTGTGGGGACAGTTCTTCTCTGTCCTGTAGTGTCAGTATGAATGGAATCAACTCCATGGCAGTGGATTTTTTTTTTTTTTGGGGGGGGGTCAATTCCTCTGCTCAGTGATGAAAGCTGTTAACCATTAACATTGTAATCCACCACTTAGTGATAAAATTCTGTTAACTGTAAATATCCTCACAATGTATTGTGTGGCAGGTTAGGTGTTGTTTTTATTTTTCAGATGGGGAGATGAAGTGTTGTTGGACAACAGTAGATTAACTACACCAGATTCAACATTCTATATCAGCAGGCACCTACTGTAGGCTTAAACATGAGCTCTGGTGGTGTAGTGCCTAAGGCATTTGACAGTTAGCCAGAAGACTGGCGGTTCAAACCCACCAGCCATTCCTTGGAAGGAAGACTGGGCAATCTCCTTCCATAGTGATACCCCCTCGGAAACCCAAGGAACGATTGCTGTGAGTCAGCATCAGCTATGGCAGCGAGTTTGGTTTGTTTTTTTAAATAGGCTAACTAAGGAGTTTTAGTGGCATAGTGAGTGGTTAAGGCATGTGGCTGCTACCCAAAAGGCAGCTGGTTTGAACCCACCAGCCTCTCCGCAGAAGAAAGATGGGGGATAGTCTGCTTCCGTAAAGATTTACGGCCTTGGAAACCCAATGGAGTTCGCTATGAGTCCGAAACAACTCGATGACAGTGATTTTGGTTTGGTTTGGATGGGCTTAACTATGAGCTGGAGGATTCAATAAAGAAG